CTCTGTTTAACCTTTTAAGGAACCACAAACTGTTTTCCACAGTGGCTGAAATATTTTATATTCCCACTAGCAATGGACAAGAATTCCAATTTCTCCGCACCTTCAGCAACATTTGTTATTTTCCTTTTCATAATAGTCATCCTAGTGGGTGTGAACCTACCCAAAGGTGCCTTGGAAGAAAAGCCTGATGATCTTCTTCCTTGAAAACCCTGTGCAGTGCAGTTCTACTGTGCAACATACAGGGTCACAATGAATCAGAATTGACTTAATGAAGTTGGTTTGGTTTCGGTTTAGTGGATGTGAAGTGGTATCTCAGTCTTGTTTTGATTGCGTTTCCCTAATAACTAATGATGTTGAACATCCTTTCATGTGCTTATTGGCCATTTGTATTTCTCCTTTGGAGAAATCTCTATTTAAATCATTTGCCATTTTTGATTAGATTATTTGTCATTTTGTTGTTGAATATCAATAGAGTTTTGATCAAGAAGCCATTCTTACAATACTGGGATAAGCCCTACTTAATCACACTGTATTCTTGATACATTTTGAATTTAGTTAGCTTATATTTTGTTTAGTGTTTTCTCATTTGTGTTTAGAAGTGAACCAAGCCATCTATTTCTTTCTTTTTATTTTGTATTGTCTTTATCCAGTTTTTATATCAAGGTTTTAATACTAGGTTTATAAAATGACTTGGGCAGCTTTCTCTCTCTCTCTTTCTTTTTTTTTCCTTTTCTAGAAGAGCTTTTATAAGATAAAGATTGTCAGATTTTTAAAGTTTCACTTTGAAGGACCCCATTTCAACTAAGTATCAAAGAAGAAAAAGAGGAATACCAAAGGTGTTTTAAGACATTTTTTTAGAAGAAGCTGAGTTAGTCAGTTACAGTGTTTGCTGTAATTCATTACAAATGAGCGTTAAAGCTTTGCAGCAGTGTTTTGAAATTTTTAAGTGTTTGGCAATTTTGGAAAGGTCTAAGAACCTTAGCACTTTTGTATATTTGCACATTTGCTGTTGTCATTTTTGTTGCCAACCATTTTAGAAGATAGTTTCCCCCGTAATTCCTGTCAGATTATTAATGCAAATAATTAAAATAATCATTTCGGCATAAGCTATGCTTTAGTGGGCAAACTGAAATACAAAGAAGGAAAAGGCCCAAAGGCAACTATGATAAAAACTCAATTTCTAGTGGAGACCACCTTTGTTCAAGTGAGGAAATATTTCATAGTACATGTAATCATTCTTCACAAATGCATGGTTCCCACTTGAGGTAATGGTGCAACTATTATCTGCTTTGGTTAGGTCTGAATGTGGGGGAGTGGCTTAGTGATGAGTTCACCTTAAGAAATAAAAGTTAAGATCAGAAATCTTACTAGATTTCAGCCAGTGTTTCAGCTAAGGACCAAGACTGTAATAGGTTTGAAAGCTTCTTACCTACAGATTTGGTGTTGCTGTTTTTACCCCTGCCAGTTTCATATAACAAGTAATTGGAAAACTCTTAAGACATAAACAACCTTGATTCTGAGGTCCTTTTCAGGGACAGCAAGGCATTTGGAGGACGGAAGCAAGGGACAGAGTAGGAGGTGGTAATTGACAAGAAGAGCAGAGATGAAGCTAAGTCTTTCTGACTGCTACAAGGAAGGAAGAAAAGATAATCCTGGGTACAAAAATGGACTGAAGTTTTAAAACAGAAATCTTGAATTAGTCATTATGCCATGATATCCACTCTGTGGACAGTCCAAGCTAGGCTTGGTTGCATTAAGACATGGTTTGAAGCAAAGTGACATGAAATTGATAGCTGTGAAATGACAGCAACAGATGGACCTTGCTAGCATGAAGCAATCAAAGGTGTGCAAAGTTGATGCAAAAATACTCAATCCTGAACTTGACAGACCATGTAGAAGCAGGTTATATCGATAGCTAAAGGTCAGATATAAATATAATGAGCTTCCTTAAGACTGCTGAGCATGCTCTAGCCTTCTCAATCACATTTATACTCCAGAGAGTTAACCTGTCAGCTATATGTATGTCCATCTCTACCTATGCAATGGAACAAATAGAAACCTCACAAGGTGATCAGGTCCAATCTATTGTATTTTATTGTATTGATATCTTAATGAGATTATGATGGTTATAATATAGGAAAATGGATTAATATTCTTAACCGAACAGAAAGATCAATTTAAGTAGCTAAAC